CTTGTGGTTTTGGGAGTGTTCTTTTGTTTTCGGCGGTCCTTTAGGTCTTGGCCCCTCTTTGGTTCTCGGCGTGCTAAGGTTTTTTTGCGCTCTGTCGTTGGTTATGTCGGCGTCTGATCGGTTTTCGGCGCTCTGTTGGTTTTCGGCGCTCATTTGGCTTTCGGCGCATTTGTAGTTTTCCGCGCCGTCTTGGTTTATCCAGGTTTCTTTGATCTTCGGCGACTCTTGTTGTTTGCGGCGCTCTTTGTGTTTACGGCGTTTTCGGCGCCATTTTGGTTGTTCGGAGCATATTTTGCTTTCGGCGTCCCTTTGGTTTGCGGCGCCGCTGTGGTTGTCGGCGCTCTTTGGGTTTTCGGCGCGTTGTTGGATCTTTGGTTTTCTGCGCTCTTTTGGGTTTCGGTCCTCTTGGGTTCTCGGTGTCATTTGGGTTCTCGGTGTGCTTTTGGTTTACGGCGCTCCTTTGGTTTTTGTCGCTCGCTTGGTTTTCGGCGCGCCACTGCTTTTCTGCGCATCCTTTGAGTGTGGCGACCTGTTGGTTGGCGGCGCCCTTTTGGTTTTCGGCACGCCTTTGGTCTTCGGCGAATTCTTGGTTTTCGGCACCCTTCTGGTTTCCAGCGCTCGTTTCGTTTTTGGTGTTCTTTTCGGAGGCGCTTCTTTTGTTTTTTCGTGTTCCTTTGGATTTCCGCGTTCTTTTGTATTTCTGCGCTCTTTGTTTTTTCGCGCTTTTTGGTTTTCGGGACAGCGTTGGGTTTCGCAGTTCTTTCGATATTTTGCGCCTATTGGATAGGGGGAGCTTCGCTTACGAGGAGCACGAAAAAAGGAGGGGGGGATGCTTCCAAGGGGGGGGGAGGTAGCTAAGCCCCTTCCCCCCTTTGGGAAAGGGAGGGGTGGGTAGCTTCCAGAGCGCGACAGGGAGGGGGGGGGGTCGCTTCCGAGGGCGATTCCGGCAGGGGAGGTTCGAGGGGGGGTTCGCTAAGCCCTTTCTTTGGGAAATGAAGGGGGAGGCGTAGCTTCCGCAGCGCGAAAGGGTGGGGGGGTAGCTTCTGATGGGCGAAGAAAAAGGAGGGGGGGGGGGGGCGGGGGGCTTCCTGCAGGGGAGGTTCAAGGGAAGGGTGGTAGCGAAGCCCCCCCCCCCCGCCCCGGAAAGGGAGGGGGGGGACAGCCTTCCGGAGCGCGACAATGGAGGAGGGGGTGGCAGCTTCCGAGGAGCGAGAAAGAAGGAGAGGGGGGGGCCTCCGGCAGGGCAGGTTCAGGAGGGGGAGTAGCTAAGGCCCCCCCCCCCTGGGAGTGCGCCGCGGGCGCGCTCTCTCAAATTTTCCGAGGGTTCTCAATCGTGCCAGCACACAAGTCCTTGGATTTCAGCATCGCGAGTCACCGTGACTGGTTGCGTCCTGACAATCCAAGACCGTGCCGGACCACCATACTTGGGACTTCGGCACCGCGAATCAACATGACCTGGTGCGCGCTGATAATCCTAAGTCTTGCCAGAAAATCGTTCCTGGGACTTCGACCAACGCCACCTACGAAACGTATGCAAACTGTCATAAATAATGAGCGCAGCGCTAAGGCGAGAGCCAACTTTTTAAGACGAATGGGAACGGCGCGAAGGCGAGAGCCACATTTTCAAAACGACCCGCCCTCCAGTCGTGAAGTTGCTGCAAGCTATTGAACAAATTTGCGCGGCGCTAAAGCGAGAGCCACAAATGTGAAAACGACCTGCCTTCCATCGAAAACGGCCCGCCTTCCATCCGTGAAGGTTGTGCACATTTTCAACATGAATGTGCGCGGCGCTATGGCGATAGCCACGTTTTGCAAACGGCCCGCCCTTCATCCGTGAAGCTGTAGCAAAGTTCGAACTTCAGGATCATACATGTTGAGGAAATCGCTGGCGAAGCGCCCGGTCCACCCGATCGACACGTTTGAGTCTGGGTGTGCGACAGGGAGGAGTTGTTTATAAGGAAGAGGGATGGAGGAGGAGGGGGAGGAGGCGGAGGAGGAAGAGGAAGCGAGGAGGCGGAGGAGGATGGGAGGAGGAGGAGGCCTTGGGGCGGTCTGGGGGCACATGGGGCCGTCTTGCAGCGTCGGAAGTTTGAAAGGCGCCAGCGCTGACATCATTGGAAAACCTGCGGACAATCCCCAGAGGTCCTCTTGCATACCTTTTAGGACGTCTTGGAGACCCCTAGGGCCGTCTGGAGGACATCTTCGGCCGTCTCGGGGCTATCTTGTTGTCGTCTTGGAGGCGTGTTGGGGCCTTCTTGGAGGTCAGTTTGGATCATCTTAGCCGTCTTGGAGGCATCTTGAAGGCCATCTTGGCCGTCTTGGAGGCGATTCGGTCAACAGGAGATGGTTCGCCCGGATCTCTCCAGGTGGCCGGCGGGCTGGGCCAGAGGTCACTGGAAACCTTTAAAGAAGATTTGTGCCATGCACCCTTGTGATACATCAACATGGGGCGGCGGCTCCAGTAGCCTTCGGCCCATCCCGCAGCCATGCCTGGGTCGTG